AAGTGAAATTGCAAATGGCCAAGCATTTCTGATCTCTTTTGAAAAAAAGAGGAGCTTCACTACCTTTGTAGGGTGTCATGACAGAAAATACAGAAAAACTGATTTAATTCATGGACATTTTCATTATTATTTAAGACAGACCCTAAAATCCACAGACTGCTTTATTGTTGGAGTGAAGCTGATCTTTTGTAGATAATTCTCACAACAAATGAACTATAACACAAGCGCGATGTGAATTTTTTTAAATGCTTCCATGTTTTCGAATCTTTTCAGACAAATTCAAGCCGAATTAATAGGCCTCTGAAGGCAGCTGATAAAATGTTGACAGTCATGGAGTCATATGAGAATTAAAAAGAACAATCATTTGGGGAATTTTTTTTCCCCGTCCTGCTTGCTCTCGACGAGGACGGACACATTCCCCTCCCGCTCCTGCCTCCCTCCTGCTTTGCTCTTTGTCTTGTGATTCCTATAAGAGTCTCTCACTACATACTGTATCCTCCGGATTGTAAATTATGCATCTGGTCAGCTGGTCTCTCAACAGAATGGATAAAAATTTCTCGACAAGAAGACAGGGCGAAGGAGAGCACTCTTGCCCTGACGATACACGATGGATTACTGGAGGAAGTGGACGATCGTGTGTCTTGTTAGTGTTGTCGTTCGAGGATGTAGAAGACGCGTACATAATTGGGAGGTACGATGTGTCACGATAACAGGATTTCTGCTTTTTGGAGTCAGCGGTTACCTGGCTTATCGACAAATATGGAAAATGTCAGCAGCCATTCTGTCTTTGGTAAAGCTGCCCGGCTTGTATCAAGGAATGGACCGAGCGGTAAGCTCTCACTCGGACGCTGTGTGAGCTGAGCCGTAAGCTGGATGCAATTTCTTGAATCGCAGTCCACTTGCAGCTCCTGGAACTCACTGGCGGGAAGGAATCGACCTTGGAGAAGTTACAAGCTCGGTCCGGTGGTAGGACCACAAAATTTGGCTGTTTGGAATCGTCAGCGAGACGTACCAGAAGATATATGAAGGCAGACATGGAAAATTCAAGCAGAGTCTGCCTGACCCAAACTAACTGTGTTATCTGAATAGGCCTGTTGCGATAAACAATAAATCAATTAATCACGTGATAAATGAGAATTATCGACCTCGTCCTCATTTATCGGCTTTATCGTTTCTTTGTGTCTCTCTCTTTCTGAAGACACTGGATGACAAAAGGCTCAAGTCTGATGCTGCTCACTAATCACTCCTTTTCTCTTTAAAATCTGTTTTACCCCTCCAAAATCACGTTTTTGGATCGTTAAAAGCAGCTAAGCTGAGAAGCTAAGCTACGAGCTAAGCTAACAGGCCGACCTCGGGGGAAAAACCTCTGTCTTGTCGAAGCTCCAAAATTCACGGTTTAAACCCGTGCCTTCATCTAAAAAGTTGTTTTTCTCTGCAAAAAGAGGCTGAGAACTTGTTTACTGATTTTTTTTATTAAAAGCTTTGTGTGAAAAATGCTATGCTCAAGAAACCAAACCACACCGAGCGTCTGCCATTTTGCGAACCGAAAACAAGGAACGAGAAACAGCCCATGTCAAGTCAAGGGACCTCCCTCCCATTTTTCTTAAAGAGACACGCTGCTCGCTCCCTCATTATCATGAATCCTTTGGTTCAAACAGTCTTATACTGCCATCCAGTGTTCAAAAAAGTTACTACACACAAAATTAACCTTCATTTCTTCTTAAATTTTACAATAATTACTAATTATTGTTAAATTTCAAACAATATTATCGTTTATCGCAATAATTTCTGAGACAATTAATCGCCCAGCAAAATTTGTAATCGTGACAGACCTACTGAAAGGGTCTGTTTTCATACACAAGGCACACTGAATTATAAGTCTGTTGATTTTTGAGAAAATTCAAGAATTTTAAGTGTGCCTTATAGTTCGAAAAATACGGTACTCAGCTCCGAAGGCTGCAGAAGGAAAAAGGAAACGCTGGAAAGACCTTCAGAAAATCTGAAACACAGTTGAGCCAATCCACTTCTAAACATGATAGGAAAGTCGGAATGCTTGAAAGAATGTAAAGAAATGAGGACAAGTGTGAAATGTCAATGTTTTAAATGAGGTTCATACTGGAAAACCGCGTCACCTCTTGATGGGTGAGATCATATTTTACTCACCGGCGCGGACGTTCACTTGTTGCTGCTGATCAACAGCTGTAAGAAACAAAAAATCACCACATTGGAAAAATTAAATGTTCTAATTTTCCAAAACAACTTTTCCTGTTTTTAACCATCAAGAGTAACATGTTCATCACCTTCAGTCGATTGTGTGCTTTTCAACGGTATAGCACCTGTAGAACATACAAAACAACTC